CAAAAGTCTCACTCTCTCCCCCTGAGAACAGAGCTGGAGAAGGTATTCTGCAATCCCAAATGAAGAATGATCGATTGGTAGGAAAATGGGGTGGGAAATTTTCCTGCAGACTTTTGGGGGGATTTTCTCAGGATCTTTGCAGAAAAAGCAGAAGCAGCAGAGACCCTGGGAAAATCCCCCCCCCCCAAAAAAAAGTCTGCAGGAAAATTCCCCACCCCGTTTTTTTACTGATCATTCTTTATTTGGGATCGCAGGATACCTTATCCAGCTCCGTTTTCAGGAGGAGAGAGAGAGACTTTTTGATTGATCAGGCAGTAGCAAGTTCATCTGGTGGTGGTACTGTCCATCCCAAATTGTTCTATCTTACCAAGAAATAGGTTGTTGTGATCTACTTTGTCAAAGTCCAAGTATACTATATCAACAACATTTCGCTGGTCTGCTAATTTAGTCACTTTGTCAAAGAATGCAATCATGTTTGTGGCATGATCTGCTTTGAGAAACACATGTTGGCTTCTAGTAATAGATTGGCTTTTTTCTAGGTATTTGAAAATCCATCGCTTGATTATCTGTCAGAATTCTGGCAAGTTGACATTATCTTTCCAGGATATTGATGCAGAGTGATTGATCCATAGTTACCTGGATCTATTTCTTCCACTTTTTTGAAGATTATAACCACATGTAATTCTGCCAATCCTTTGGTAGTTCCCCAGTGCTCTAGGGTTTTTGAAATATATAGTTCAATGGTTCTGAAATCATCTGCTAGCTTCTTCAAAACCCTGGGATACAAACCATCTAGTCCCGGTGATTTGAAATCACCTAGAGAGTGTGGATAGGTGTTGTATTGCCATTTTCTTCCCTATTTTGACTTGTATTCCTAATCTGTCTTTTATGGTATTGCTTTCTGTAGGTCAGACTATTTTTTCCTTTGTGTACAAACAGGTGCAAAGAATGAATTAAGCAGTTCCATTTTCTTCCAGTTGCCATTTACCTCTTTGCCTCCTTCTCCCATTAGTGGACCAATTGTTTCCTTGACTTTTTTTCTTGTTTTTTACATGTTGAAAGAAACATTTAAAAAAAAAATCACATTTGTTGCAAGTTTTAGTTCTTTATAAATCTTCACTTTGCTGACCTTCATCTTTGTAGATTTGGGCTATTTACTGGTATTCTGCTTTAGTTGTGTGTTCCTCTTTCTATTTTGTATTGTCCTAGTTGTCTTTCAGTTTATCAGAGAGTTCTTTATGCAACCATGCTGGCTTTATATCGGAGTTCTTATTTTTCTTTCTCAGTGGTAATATGCGACCTGGGTTTTTATAATCTAATTTTTCAGAGTTTTTCAAACTGCTTGAATTGTTTTCCTCCTTAATATTTCATCCATGGAATCCTTCCAAAGCTCTTTCTAAGTTTGTTGAAACCAGTTCTCTTAAAATCTTAAGAGAAGATTTTAAGATTTTAAGAGAAAAACTGGCTTGACTTGTGCTTGTATTATGTTTTATTATTCCAGTATGATATCCCAAAGTTGTTTCCCCAAGCTATTGTCCACTGTCCCCCAGGCTATTCTCAAAAGCACCCGAGGGCAAGACAAGAAGAAATGGGTGGAAACTAATCAAGGAGAAAAGCAACCTAGAACTAAGGAGAAATTTCCTGACACTTAGAATAATTAATTGGTGGAATAACTTGCTTCCAGAAGTTGTAAATGCTCCAGTACTGGAAGTTTTAAAGAAGCAATTGGATAACCATTTGTCTAAAATGCTATAGGGTTTCCTGCCTAAGCAGGGGTTGGACTAGAAGGCCTCCAAGGTCCCTTCCAACTCTGTTATTAAATGTAGTTAAATGGTTCCTACCTACACAAGATTATAATGCAAATTTTGTTATTTAATACAAAATATTCAGAACTTTATAATGGAAACTACATTTACTGTTCATTAAAAAAAATGAAATGCAAAAACTAATGTTGGGTTAGTATCAGAATGTCCACCAGCACATGTTCTGACTGTGTATGTTTTATATGTATTGTATTTCATTGTGTCATGTTATATTTTGTGTGTGTATATGTGTGCGTGTGTGTGTGTGATTTTATTTATTGTATAACCTCAACCACTGAATTTAGATTTTGTTAATATATGCACCCCGAGTTTTTGTATTTTAAGCTGCTGTTTACTATTTCATTAGAAAACTGACTTAATGCTGACTTTCCTAATGTTTCAGCAAATGTATGATGTATTTTCTACATTTCACCTGTTGAATTCTGAATATAATACAACAAATATTGTAGACAAAAAGTATACTTTATCTGAAAGTATGTTCTGCGCCCTCTTGTGGACAAATATACACATAGACAAATTTTAGCTTATGAATGTGTATAGTTATGTTGTATAGTGGGATGGGAAATTGATAATTAGCTACTAACTTGCCACAAATTAAGTTTCATGGGCATTTTTAATATTGCAACTCTTAAGCAAGTTTTTTGGGTCTTTATCCTTTTTAAAAAATATATACTACTTGTTTCTTTCTTGTTCTAAAATACATAGTGAAAGATGTTGAGGCACATTTAAGCTAATGTCTCACTAATCCACAAGAACTTATTCCTGACTTCTACACTGACAAAGAAAACAATCAGATTTAACATTTATATTTTCATTTTTTAAAAATCCTTAATTATTATTCTAGTTATTTTTTTTTTCATATTATGCCATTGTTGTGTGGAGATACTATACTGAGACCAAGTTGCCATTCAGTGATGGAAATCACTGAGCAGTAATTCATCATTGATAATCATTCAGCCTAACATAATTAATCAATGCAAGAATGTTGATATGTGGATAAAATTGGAAGATAGTACTTTATCTGACAGTTTTTGCTCCCTAAGGAAAGCAGAATACCGGAATACTTCCTACCTGGAAATTTTATCAAGAACAAAGTAGAAGTAGCTACCAACATTTTATTATATCTTTTTCTAATATTTCAATATTTTAATATATGTAATATATTTTAATATAGGTTACAAAGTTATACACATAGCCCCCACTTAACTACCACAGCTGGGATCGACAGCTCCATCGCTAAGTAATACAGTTTTTAAGTGAGATATCATATGATTGCGACAGATTTAACACCTCACTTCTGCTGCCACCATTAACCAATCCACTCATGGCTGTTAAGCCAGATATCACATGATGTGACTTGTTATTTTACTACTGGCTCAATTGAACTTTGGTTGTTGGTAGCCAGTTGTGAAGTAGCAAACAGCAATCATGTGACTGCGAAATGTGAATGTCTGTCTGTTGCAAAGTATCCAATTTTTGATCACATGACCACAAAAATGTCACAGTGATTGTAAATGTGAGGGTTGGTCATAAAATTATTTTTTCAGCAATGCTGTTATTTAGAATGGTTGCTAGGGCACTAGTTAAGCAAAGACAACTTGCGCTATTGAACTGAAATTGTTTTGTTCATTTTTTAGTCAGCCTTAAAATAAACCAATAATAAGCATAATAATATCAAAGTTAATTTATTATCAATATTGTGTTTTCTTTTTCTTGTATCTAGAATGGCCAATGGTTATGCTTCAAAATCACCATTAGAACCATTCAACAAACTGTAATCATTATGTCACACAAAAGTGATTCTTTTCTTTATGTATACTGAGAGTATTTACACCAAATTCCTTGTGTATCCAATCACACTTGGCCAATAAAGTATTCTCTTCTCTTCTCTTCTCTTCTCTTCTCTTCTCTTCTCTTCTCTTCTCTTCTCTTCTCTTCTAATTCCTATTCCTACTCCTATTCCTACTCTACTCTACTCTATTCCTATTCCTACTCTACTCTACTCTACTCTACTCTACTCTACTCTACTCTATTCTAGACTTCTAAGTTAAAATGGACAAAATAAAGGTGATTATATTTTCCTAAGCTAAAATTGATCCTAATGTTCTGTAATACAGAATGTATTTAGAGTTTAGTAAATGAATGGTAAAGTGTAAAACTATTTTTAACTGAATATATTTGGTGATTCTATAGTATTCAAATGTTTCTTAGACTTGGCTCAGTTAGAAGCTATTTTTTAATTAGAAGGTTAGAAGGCTCAATTAGAAGTTTTTTTTATTAGAAGATTAGAATGAGATCAGCATGATCCTACTCTTAACTCTCTCAAAGGGTTCCTGTGCATATATGCTTTATTCCAATGCATTCAGTAGCATTTGCTCAATGTTTTAATAACTAGAATATCAAATCCACAAATTACCATATTTGACATCATATGTCTGGAGTGCTTCTGTCATTGTTTTTAATGATTTTGCCTTGCTTCACTCATGCCAAGAGACCAAATCTATATCCATCAGGAAGTCAAAATAGGGAACATGATGAATGCATAACCCATACAATCCAATGTAACTGCAAAACATGTTCATGTATCTGCTTTATGATGTATAGAAGTATTATTTGTATGAAATTTATTTTGAAGAATAATTGCTTTACCATTGACTAAATCAATTCAGAAATCCCTGAAATACAAGACCAATGAGTGCCATTTTAATACATTTTAAGAGCAATTTTTTTCAATCTAGCAGATAAATAGATAGAATTACCTATTATAGTTTATTTGACTATATGTGAGCTGGAATGATTTGAATAATACAAAATCTATTTCTGCAGTACTGGGACCACTGTGATTCTAATTATCTGCTAGATAGTTTCTGCTATCATTGTAATAGATAACAGGATTCTGGTTATATAAACAACACCTAAAATAACGTACTGCACTAGATCTTTATTGAACTTTCTCTGACTACTATATCCAGAAGGGTTAGTGACATCATATGAATATCTACATGATTGCCCCAATTATTTTTCTTATATTAATCATATAGATAACTCAATTTATGCAAACTTTACTTTTCTTAGTCTTGTTTTATATTGCATATTAAATAAAACTCTATGCTATTACATTTTTTTAGACTTTAAATTTTGTTTTGCTTTGCAAATAGTCTTTCTTTCTCATTCCAGTGTGTGGGAGATGGGAAGTAATGTTAGCTGGCACCCGAACTAAAATCTGTGTGTAAGCACCACCATCCCAAGCACTTCAGAATGAATGGGGATATGCCTCATGTTCCCATCACTACTCTTGCAGGGATTGCTAGTCTTACTGATCGTAAGTATTTTTCTAAGTTTTTAAAATTAAAACTTAATATAAGTTATACTTAATATAGTTATCTTAAGTTATCTTATTCATATCAAAATATCTTTGGAACATGATTCTCTAAAGGTATGTGTGTGTGCCTGTGTGTGCGCGCGCGCGCATGCATGAAATAAATACCCTCCCCCAACTCTCTATCTTATTTTTCCTTGATTGAAGGATGAATAGTTTGTAATTTTAATATCCCATTTGACAACAGAGCAAAATATACAATTGTGTTACAACACAATATTCTTACCCCTGGATCCATCTTGGCAGAGAAATACTATAATTTGAAGTTATTTAATTTTTCAGTTACAAAATGCAATTAAGTTGACCCCCCTATCCAATAAAAACCTTCGAAATTACAGTGGAAATTGTGCACTGGATGGCAGAAAAGTCTCAGCCTATTATTTTTTAAGCTCTATGCAGGAGAACATTTATTCAAGCATAGTGGTTAACTGGCCAATTCTTGATGTATAATAGATAATTTTCTGGCACTTGATTGTTAAACACAAATATGCAAAAGAAGAGTATAGTAACATGTAATATAGAAATAGAACAGGCTTCCCTAAGATGATGCTGTCTAGGCACATTGGAATTACAACTTGTGGAATTCCTAGCAGGGATATAAATTTGGAGAAGGCTGAGCATAAGAAGAATCAATTCAGATAATCCTCAATTTATGACCACAATTGAGCCCAAATTTTATGTTGCTGAGATATTTGTTAAGTTTTGCCCAATTTTATGGCTTTTCTTGCCACATTTGTTAAGTGAATCACTGCAGTTGTTTAATTAGTCACACAATTGTTAAGTGAATTTGGCTGCCCCATTGACTTTACTTGTGAGAAGTTTGCAAAAGAGAATCACATGACTCTTGCACACTACAACCGTCATAAATGAGTCAGGTGTCAAGCATCTTAATTTTGCTTATGTGACTGTGGGAATGTTGCAATGGTTGTAAGTGTGAAAAACAGCCATATGTTGCTTTTTTAGTGCCGTTGTAACTGAACAGTCACTAAATGAACTGTTGTTAAGTTGAGGACTACCTGAAGTTACTAATGTCAAAGGCATTATTACTGGAGGTGCTCTGAATCACAGTATTTAATATTGCAGGAATACTAGATGGGAGAAAAAATTCTGAAATGCTGATTTTTTAAAAATGGAATAATGTTTTATTTTAAATGTTTCTAAACAGTTTTGAATCAGCTGCCTCTTCCATCACCTTTGCCTGCCACAACTACAAAAAGCCTGCTCTTTAATGGACGAATTGCAGAGGAGGTGAACTGTCTTTTGGCTTGTAGGGATGAAAATCTGGTTTCACAGCTCGTACACAGCCTCAACCAGGTGTCAACCGATCACATGTATGTATTTAAAGCAAAGCATTTTAAAACCGACTATTATATGTGTAGAATTATTAAAGACACTTTATTGATACTGCTAGGTTGTATAAACATAAAGTTCTAATCCACTCTCACCAAAAAGATTATTTTTATGTTGGCCAGTAAGATTTTTTTTGCTCAATCTAATTAATAGTTTTGTTGTGTAGCAGTGTAGGAGAAGAAAGCACCAAACATGTGGTGCCTTGAGGTCCTGAATGAAAGTATACCTTAGTGATTTAGTGAAAAGTGAGTTACAAAACACTAACAAATTGACCAAAGTAAAGTAATAGATTGCTACACTAATGTTGTAGTAGTGTGACTACTTCATGATTTTCAGCATCTTTTTGTTCTGCTTTTGGTTTAGGAATAATGACTTAAAATACTGAAGCACTGGATCTCAGAATGTTGTTAGATGTGTAGTTTTTAGGACTGTGAAATAGACTACATGTTAAAATACTTATAAATATGAAATATGTAATGATTTCAAAAGAGTTCAAAATCATATTAGAGACATAAAATTATTTATATTCCTTCTGTATTATTTTTACACATAACTCAGGGAAGTGAACTTATCCAAGACATCTTCTTTCTCCTATTTAACCTTAAACAGGTTCATTACGCTTTGAAAAATTGTGAAATTACATTTTTAAACAAATTAGTCAACGTTTATCTTATAGAAGTTGTGTGTTATTACATGCTATTTTTAACACATTTTAGAACTATGCAAAAACAAAAATACCAATGTTAATTCTTTATCAAGAGTTTTAATTAATAAGGGAGTTATTAATGATGAGACGGTTGCTTCAAGTTTGAGAACCTATTACATTAAGATGAAAACAACTGTGCTATATTGCAGAGAATTTAAATATAGGCAGTTCTTGACTTATGATCATTCAAAGTTACAAGTGACTTAAACTACTTATAATATATCCTCAAAGTTATAACTTATTTTGGTGCTTAACCATCAACTCGCATTTATGACAGTTGAAGTGTTTTGTGGTCATGTATCTACAATTAGCTATTTTTTTGTTAGTTTCCAGAAAAAAATCACTAATTTAGGAGAGTGGATTTGCTTAGCTACCACATAATTTGCTTAACGATTGTGAGGATTTATTTTATCACTGTGGTAAAAATGGCCACAAAACCAAGTCTCGTCTCATAATGCCCCAACTTATGACTATAACAACTTGTGACCAAAATTCCAGATTCCTGTATATTTATTTCATGCAGCAGACCATGAAGGAGAAAAAACTATTTCGATCTCAGAAAAATGCACTTTGTATTCCCTGCACATTATTGATATTTTATGGGTGTCCTAATTAATAGCTTGCATGCTTGACAATATACTCATGGTTTCCTGTAACTCTTCTGTTTTCTGTATCTTCAATCAGAGAATTGAAAGATAACCTTGGCAGTGATGATCCAGAGGGAGATATACCAGTCTTGCTGCAGGCTGTCCTGGCAAGGAATCCTAATGTTTTCAGGGAAAAAAGCATGCAGAACAGATACGGGGTACAAAGTGGTGAGAGTTTTTATTCATTTACTATATTTTCTAAAGAAAAGAATAATCAACTTTGTTACCTTTCTAGTGTGACAGCAGGAATAGATTTTAGGTATAATATCAAATGTGCTGGCTTATTTTGTTTTTAATACATGAGATGTGTATCTTAGCCATTTAAGGCTAGGACTTTGAAATAAAAACTTATTCAGACTAATAACAGAAGAACAATTCCTTTCAAGCAAGTGCAATACTTCTAGAAAAAGTCACTTTGGCATGGTCTTACATGTTGAAATCTACATTTACACAACCCATGACGCATTGGGTCATAGTTTCAGACATTTTTCCTTGCCTGATTCCTCAATGCCTTCAACAATTGCAGAGCTTCTACTTGCCTTCACTGGAAGAGTCCCTAAAAATTCAGGGAGATATTCAGAGATGTATGTGTCTTGAAAGTAGCCCATATTAAAGATTAGGAGTAGTACACATGAGATATTCTGTGATATTTTATACTATGTCATAGAATGCCTTGTGATAATTTTTATGTTAGTATGTTTTATAACATTAGGCAAATTTCATTTCCATGGAAGTGATGGGTCCCAGATTTTGGGGAACGTATTTCAAATGGATAAGCTAGTCCATTTGAGGTACCTTGGTTCACAATGTTTTGATCTGTGATATACTGTTTCACCCAGTTAAAGATTACAGACATGAAAGTTTTAATAATTTATGGATACATTGTTTTGGACATCATATTTAACTATGATTTATTGTAAAAGCTAAATGGAAAGCACAAAGATGGAAAGATTGTGTACTACTCACAACGGAGGAATGGAAAATACAATATAGATATTGCTGACTAGAAATCCCTTATAATTTTTTTTGTGTGCAAGAAACAGAAAAACATGAACTTGTGAGTTATTGTTTTGATGATTAGACCAAATAGATTATACAAAAAATAGAGGTATGTTATAAACATAGAGCAAGACATAAATTTATAATCGTTCTTATAACTGCTGTAAAGAAAATCAAAGGCTACTTCTTTGTAGTCTTTTCTTTTTCTTTTAACCCTTTCTTTTTCCTTTTTCTCATCCTATATTACTTTCTATTAGTTTTTATTTTCTTTCTTAAAGTTAAGTGTGTGCGTGTGTGTATAAAACACACAGACAAAGAATAAACTTAAATGGACAGCTAATCACAGTTAACCCACTGGTATCTCTATAAGTCCCCGCTATTTTCAAGAAGCAACTTCCAAAATTCTGATAGTAGTATACTATGGATATCCTAGAGGAGTATATATATATATAAATATATATATATAGTGAATTATGTATGTATGAACCTTTATATTCATAAGAATTTGCTCTGCTATCATTGTATGCGCTGCCTATACTTTTTTGCGTAATTATTGTTATAAAGCTAACAAAATAGGGAGATAATTCAGAACAATCTTTTTTTCTTTTTAGGAATGATGATGCCACAGTACAAACTTTCTCAGAATTCCATGCATGGTAGTCCTGCATCTTCCAATTATCAGCAAACCACTATCTCTCATAGTCCTTCAAGGTAAATATCATCTTTTCAGATTTTGAAATGTGATTCTTTGGGTCTATAACAAAAATATTTATTTTGTTTTTGGTTTTTTAAAATTTGATTTATACTTCACTGAAACCATTATACTATAATTGAGATGGACCTTTAACACTTTTGGCAATGTAGGGGAAATATATTTCTAGCATTTTAAAACTTTGCCTTTATATGATAGAAAAAAGAACAATAGTTCTTTTTTCTATCATATAAACAATAAGAAAAGAAGTAAACGTAAAAATAGGAAAAAAAGTAAAAGTAAAAAAGAACTACTGTTCTTTTTTCTATCATATAAACAATAGGAAAAAAAATCATTGTTTAGAGATAGCCTTCTTATACAAACACACAAATATGCATATGATGATTTATACAATAATATCAATAAAGGATTGTCAGATTTCTTTTTGATTGTCCATACATAATCTATATCTATAAGTAACTTGGTTATAAATCATATGTGATACCAGGACTTCAAATCCCTGAGTAATTGAAACCATACATTTTATCTTTTAAATGTTGACAGACTAATCGCTTAGAAATAATGATGGCATGGAGAATCTTTTTCTGTTCAGCTGTTAGTTTGTCTGTGATAGGCATGCAATTAAAAATGAATGTCCAAAATTATTAGTATGAAAGTTCAATTAATAATATAATTCTTCTCAGAATATAATAACTGTAGTATATTTCAAAAATATGTTTTTGAAATATATCTCCATTGGATCATCAAGAACAAAATGATTTAGATACTTTTTCCCCTAAGGTCCTAAGGCTGATCTTTTTTAAAACAATGTAGACTCCATTAGTTACTGATATTTATAGACTCACATTAAGATAGTTCCCTACTATTCAGACATTGGGATCTTATTACTTACTCCATTTAGTCTGAAACATTTGCATGTCAGATCTATTTATCAATGATAAGTATTTGTAACATTATTAGAATTATATAAATGCATTTACTAATAAAAGACAAAAGATTTATGCAATCTGAAGAGAAACCAGAATGAGGTTGAAAGATTTAGAAAAACGAGTAGTTAATACAGTTTATGATCAAACAGTAATGTAATTTTCTAGACCAGAGTAACAAACTCAAGGCCCGGGGGCTGGATCTGGTCCGCGGGGTGCTTAGATTTGGCCCACAGGGCTGACCTGGAAACAGAGAAGGACTGGTCCATGGTGCCTCTGCCAGTGAAAATGGAGCTCAGGAGGGCTGTGGGTATCCATCCCGAGCTCCATTTTCTCTGGCAGAGGGTTGCAGGAGGCCGTTGAGACAAAAATGGAGCTTGGGAGTCCATTTTCGCTGGTAGAGTGTTCAGGTTACCACAGGCACCCCTGAAACAAGTGATGTCGAGCTGGTCACATTGGCCCCCCAAGGTCAGACACAACCCTGATGCAGCTCTCAATGAAATCTTAAGCTTAAAAATTTAGCTCTTATGCCTGTTTTCTTTATACTCCAGAAGCGTTCATAATAAATATTAGTGAATATTCTTTAAGTAAATAAATTTGGAATCATACAAACACTGGATTCTTTGTTTTACATTCTGTTCTGAAGTGTGCAGGTAATTATGGTGCAACAATGTGATCTTATAAACTGCCAAACTAGTCACTTAGATAAGATGGGCAGTGTGGAAATTTAATAAATAAATGAAAAATAATTCAGTAATTAAATAATTAAGGAGTCATATTTATATTGGTGCTGTTACAGTATTTCTTTGGATTTTATTTGCAGTCGATTTGTGCCACCACAGTCAAGTTCTGGTAATAGATTCATGGCACCACAAAACAGTCCAGTGCCTAGTCCATATGCTCCTCAGAGCCCTGCAGGATATTTGCCATATTCACATCCTCCAAGTTACACGCCTCACCCACAGATACAACAAGGTATTTTTCTTTTCAGAACATACTAAACTGTACCATACAATTGGTTAAAGGAATAATGCTTTGATTATGTTAATAGTTTTTAATAGTGCCTATTGTTAAAGAGTTGGAGTTTGTGTGCGAGAAGTAATAGATTATAGCTGTGCTCATAAATTTATGATTTCTTGGCCATTTTTCAGAGAATATGAATGATAACACAAAAATTTTCTTTCGCTTATGGTTAGTGGTTGGCTGAAGCCATTTATTATCAATCAACTGTTTACTCTTTTTAAATCATAATGACAACAGAAATTACCCAAATGATTTTGATCAAAAGTTTACATACCCCAGTTCTTAATACAGTGTATTGCCCCCTTTAACATCAATGACAGCTTGAAGTCTTTTGTGATATGTGTGCATACGGCTCTTAATCTTCTCAGATGGTAAAGCTGCCCATTCTTCCTGGCAAAAATCCTCCAGTTCCTGTAAATTCTTGGGCTGTCTTACATAAACTCCACGTTTGAGATCTCCCCAGAGTGGCTCAATAATGTTGAGGTCAGGAGCCTGAGATGGCCACTCCCGAGCCTTCACTTTATTCTGCTGTAGTCAATGACAGATCAACTTGCCTTGTGTTTAGGATCATTGTGATGTTGGAATGTCCAAGTACGTCCCATGTGCAGCTTCCGGGCTGATGAATGCAAATTTTCCTCCAGTATCATTTTATAACATACTACATTCATCTTGCCATCAATTCTGACCAAATTTCCTGTGCCTTTGTAGCTCACACATCCCCAAAACATCAGCGATCCACCTCCGTGTTTCACAGTAGGAATGGTGTACTTTTCATCATAAGCCTTGTTGACTCCTCTCCAAATGTAGCGCTTATGGTTGTAGCCCTAAAGCTCAATTTTGGTCTTTAAATCAGAAGATTTAAAGCTTGTCCCTGTGCTGTTTGACGTATTGTAAGTGGGATACTTTGTGGCATTTGCGTAGTAAGGGCTTTCTTCTTGCAACTCGACCATGCAGCCCATCTTTCTTCCAGTGCCTCCTTATTGTACATCTTGAAACAGCCACACCACATATTTTCAGATAGTCCTGTATTTCACCTGAAGTTATTTGTGGGTTTTTCTTTGCATCCAGAACAATTTTCCTGGCAGTTGTGGCTGAAATTCTAGTTGGTCTACCTTCCTGTAATTTGATTTCAACAGAACCCCTCATTTTCCACTTCTTGATTAGTTTTCGAACATAGCTGATTGGCATTCTCAATTCCTTGGATATCTTTTTATATCCCTTTCCTGTTTTATACAGTTCAACTACCTTTTCCCGCAGATCCTTTGACAATTCTTTTGCTTTCCCCATGACTCAGAAGCCAGAAACGTCAGTGCAGCACTGGATGAAAGATGCAAGGGTCTGTCAGGAGTCCAGGAACTCATTGACCTTTTATACACACACACTAATTACAAGCAAACAGATCACAGGTGAGGATGGTTACCTTTAATAGCCATTCAAACCCCTTTGTGCCGACCTGTGTGCATGTTATCAGTCCAAAATTGCCAGGGTATGTAAACTTTTGATCAGGGTCATTTGAGTAGTTTCTGTTGTCATTATGATTTAAAAAGAGTAAACACAGTTGATAGATAATAAATAGCTTCAGCCAATCACTAACCATGAGTGAAAGAAAAGTTTTTGTGTTATCATTTATATTCTCTGAAAAATGGCCAAGAAATCATAAATTCTGCCAGAATATGTAAACTTATGAGCACAACTGTATGTGCTATGCTCACTTTGGCACCTTCCTTATTCAATGCTACCATGCAGTCCATGGCAGATTATTAAAATGGGAATCCTGACTCAAGAACAATACAATTTTCACTGGCCCATCTTAGGCAATGAAGATGTCCAACCTGGTGGTTGTTACCATTCCTTTTTTCTCAGATGCTTTCTTCCAATACAGTGTGCTATTTCCATTACAGGGTTGGAAAAGACATATTCAGATCATGACTGACATTATTATTGGTCGCACAGTCAGCCAAAAGTTTAGACTAGATTTGACATTTTTATCCACCTATCAATTCGTTCCCAAGGATGAATTGCAGAATGTTAGTTGTTTCAGGTTTTAATTATATCATAGTTGGTTGCACTGTCAGCTATCATGATGATTGCTTTTAGGAATAGCCTGCTGTTGTCTTCCTAAATCTGAGAGAGTGACTAGCTGAAGCTGACCTTGTGCTTAAGGTAGAACTTGGCGATTCCCATTGTCTTGCCCAGTGCCTTAGCAGTTACAACAGTGCTTCCCAAATTCTCTACGGAGCTGTTCCTAAGGAGCTGTTCTGAGCATCTAGTTCAGGGAAGTGCTTCCGTCTATTGTTCAATAGGCTGAGCAAAGTTCTGAGGACACTTCCCCTTGTCATTTGTCCCCAGTTTAGCTTAGCCCGTTGTTTGAGCTAGACATGAGCAATTTGCGGACCGGGATCTTCCAGGTTTTTTTTTAGAATTTTAAAATCATTTTTTAGCATTTTAAAGAATTTTTTTATGCCTTTATCCTAAAATGCCGCTTTCTAACAGCTTAATAGCTGATTGTCAGTTGCGGCATGTCCTTTTCAGGACCACAGCGGTGAGACGAGTGGGAGCTGAATTCCGCCACTGAAGACTTCACTTACAGCTGACTTTTTTTTGGTGAATTTTTTTGCTCGCCTTTAAATTGCTTATCAGAAAGTCTTATCAGTTCAAGGACAGGTTCATAACTCCACACCTTCCTTTAGCACCTTCATAATTTCGAATGGTCATTGAACGAATAGTTATAACTCAAGGATTATCTGTATTATAAAAACAGTTTCGTTGAACTTTATATCATTTCAACAAATCATCATTGGTAATTTAATTGATTTTCATCTTAGAGATTTTCAGACATATTTTAATACACACTGCAAACTTTAACTCAGTTTAAATGTCTGTTGTGATGGGTAATGGTTTTTGTATTGTTACCCAAAGTAAAACCACTTTTACCCAATTTTGGGTAATTTACCCACATTTTGTAGGCATCTCTCCTTCTCCCTCCGTCTCTCCCCTTCCCCCCCTCCATCTCGCTGTACACTTGTAAACAAGTGTCAGCAATATTCTTAATTATTTTTACTATGGACATAGGCAACAGTATTTCTATGCAGAACTAAAATTTATTGTTTTTAGAAATGCTGAAGGCTGAAATACAAGTTAAATGTTATCAGTTCTTTTCCTACTTCCTTTAAAGATGATATTCCTAAATCGTATCACCCAGAGAAGCTTTGAATTTTATCAGTCAATTTTTTTTACGGAAAAAAACCCTGCTCTCCTATTTTAAAATTTTGATGCTTTAGACTTATTAATATTTAAATACATTGTCTAATAGATAGCAACCATTTGCATTAAAATATTCATTTTGTTTGTGCTATTTTCTCTAATAATCAATTGGCTATTATGTAATATTACATTGCATTCATCATGCATTATAGCTTTGATAACTTGGATAATTTCAGTTCAATGGAACCCTTCTATTTCATTAGGTTCTCTTGCAATTACTCAACCCTATCATAAAGTAAATAAATAATTTATCTATTTCATGGTTGCTTCCTCTAAGCTCAGAACTAGATATGGGCTGCTTACCATGAAATTTCCTGTTGCTCAGCTCTTTTAGAGTTATCTAAATATCTTGGATTATGTGTCTGAGTTATAATATTACACTTCATTTTCTTTTTGTTGTTCTCCAAATCATTGCCACATATTTTCATCCACTGGATTAATTTTTTTAATGTTCTTAACCAATTCAAGTGTGAATTTATTCTTGCTGCGCCATGGGATAAAATTGTGGTTAGAAATATTAGATTATAGGGGAAAATGTGGTTAGAAATATTAGCCCTATACAGAAATCTTACTTATATTCCTTTTTTGTTTCCCTGACTACATGAATGTGAAGGGGATTAGCAGCTCCATCACATCATACCAAAAGACACATTTACAGTGACCAGTGTTTCGTAAAATAATCTATCCTTACACATCAAGAGTAATTATTGTGTTTGGCATGTCTTTGTAATCTATTTCATGTTCACATATTAGCTTCATGTTTTATCATTAGATGTTCTAAAGTGTAGTATCTTGCACAAATTTTGAAGTTATGGAGAGAACATTATTCTTTTTAATTTTGAAAAGAATAAAAATGTATAATACTTATTTTTAGTATTTTCTACAAAGAAGGCAATGGATTTTCTCCAATAGATATTTTGCAAATTGTGGATGGGTTTTTAAGGTCTTCATGCCTTTAAATACAATGCATGTAGGCTAAAATTGTGCAATTTATATTTTCTTTGGAATATACACATTAAGAAACCCATGCTAGTAATTTTTTTCCCTGTGCATAATATGTTGTCATGTAAGGAGTTGAACTGTTCAGAATGGAAATCAGGTAGGCCTGTAAGGTAGAATGGAAACCATAAAAAAAAAAAAACAGCAAGGTTAATGCAAGATATGTAATGTACTTGCAGAGTTGTTAGAAAATGATTATATGTGTGTTTGTATAATCTTACTTTCAGCTTCAGTATCCAGCCCTATTGTTTCAGGTGGAATGAGGAATATACATGAAAATAAGATTACAAGTCAGTTGGGCAGTTCAACCAATCACCATCCTGATAACACCAGACATGGCTCTAGTGAAGACTACCTACACATGGTGCACAGAATAAGCAGCGAAGTAAGAGATATTTATATTAGCCTTTAGTTTTTCCTACCTCCTAATAAGGTTAATCACTAGGTTAATTGTTATAAAAAAGAAAGAATTGTTTTCAGAATTAAATATGACTTTGTTTAGGTACCTGTATTATTAATTAATTAAGCTCAGTTTTAGTTTTATGCTTTTGTTCTGTGTCCCATTTTATAAATTAGTCGACTAAAAGTGATAATGCCCTTGCTGCTATTTGTCCTATTAAACATTGTGTTCAAATAGAAAATAATGAATCTTAGTCTGATGTTTCTATGTCCCTATATTATTTCAACATAATCTACTGTATGATAACCTGAATTCTTATTTCCCTGTGTATGTTCAGAAATGTTTATGCACACTTCATTGTGAGGAAGCTTATAATTGTTTTGTTATGCCTCATCAAATATCATGTTCTATGTAAAAGTTTTTTTTTAAACCTTTCCATGGTACTTTTCTTAATATAGTCCTAAGTTATCACTAATAACTGTTTCAGGAGAAAAATGCACAAAATTCTGTGCATTGTGTGTATAATTAAAATGGACTAATATTTTCTGTTTTCACTGAAGTATCTCAAGTGGTAGATGAGTTGGCTGTTTAAAACATCTCTTTGATGTATAGGTATTTCTAGTTCCAAATTAGATTAAAATTGTTAGCTTTGCCAAGAACAACTCCACAGAACAATTTGTCTGATCTTCACATGGTTTTCAGTGGGAATCATCTACTAAGAATTAAGGACAGCTCCTTAGTAGCATTCCCATCCCCTGCCAAGAAAGATCTATCTGACGATTTCATGGCTGTCTAGAAAAATCTTAATTTTAGTAGCAAAAGTTATAAATAAAGTATGTCTCAGATATTTACAAATATTGTAAATGATTGCTTAAATAATAATTTAAAAAGTTGTTCATTTCTAATTACCCTAGGATGGTGATTCTTCAATAAGGAACACTGCATCATTTTCCTTGAGATCACCACAGTCAGTATGTTCTCCTGCTGGAAGTGATGGAACTCCCAAAGGTACTTTTATAGTTTTGTATTCTTCTAGTTGGACACTTCTAAAAATTCAAATAAAGAAGATACTTGATATTTTCAGGATGTGCAATCTTTTTTGGGTAGAGTGTTGCCCCTCCTCCATGATAAGACTATGGCAAAGATATTAGATGGACAATACAAAACAAAATATATTGTCAAATGGCAGTGAAATTAACTACTGTTCACTTTTTATCTCTTTAAGAATTAAATGTTGGCATCATCTTTGGGATTTGGATTCATAAGCAATCCTTGACAGAGATACATATCTGGTTATTTAAGAAGAATTGATCTTCTGAAATATAAAATTGTTATGAATATTTTAATTCAGTATTAATTTTGAAAAATGAGACTTTTAAAATTAAAATATTTGAAAATAAATGTACAAATTCCCCTTTGTCTATAAGAGAAAGCAAAATTTAATACTCTTTAATTGCAGTGCCATTTGAAATTTTAATATATTTATAATTTTGAACAACCTAGCAAAATATACTTTTTCCATTGTTTTGTAATTCCAAACACTCATTTTTCATTGAGGTCCTGAAAGGCTACTTTGTAGGCTATACTTGGTTCTTTATGGAGTTGAATACTACAACAATATTAGAAATGGAAATCATTCTATAAGCGAAAAAAAACCTCCAGTTTAAAATCATTGTTGTAATTGCTTACTCAAAGTATATGAACCACATACAATCTTATTCAAATAATTTGATCATTAACTTCAGTATATTATGTATTTTATATGCGGCCCAAGGCAGTTTGTCTTCATTCAGTGCGGCTTGGGCAAGTTGAAATATTGAACATCCATGACATCAACCTCGCAGCCTGTGGGCTGGGTGCATCATGCGTTGGCCATGCCCACCTCTATTTTAGCAAAGGAAAAAAGTCGTGATACATCATGTGATAAAAATGTGACACTGCGAGTTTGACACTGCTGATCTAATGAATCAGTATGATCTGACTATTTAAGAATCTGAACAGTTTACTTTGACTATTGAGTCTATTTTATTTCAACAGTTAATTTGATAAATTTGTCTTCACATATGAAATTTTGAAGATTTGATGCATTGAATCATTTAAAAAGAATGTTTTGATTCAACTGCCTTTCAAAGTTTGATACCATTCTATCACTTATAGGCGTAATAGAGAAATACAAATCAATCCCTCACCACCACCACCATCTGGAGATCTTTGTTCTGCCTGTTTCTCTGAAGTCATAATGTAATTCAGCAAATGTGGTATTTAAAAAAAATCATTTTAAAAGAACTGTGTGGCCCGATCACTGAAAGATTGCCTATCCTTGTTCTAAAAAATGGAATTCTGACATGGTTGATTTTAGGGATGAAACTTTTTTCTTAATAGTTAATAATTAATATAATACTATCTTAATTCTTTCTAATTATTTTTTATTAGCAATAGTAGATATTTATTTTCTCATCATAATAGCAGATGATAACAAATAAACATGATTTGTAAAGTTGTGTCAGTCTTCCAACTATAAATGGATCTCTAAATAAACATGTTATTCCTATGAGGAACATCAATTGTGCAAGTTAGTTCTACTTTAGAGGAAAGGTATTTTCAACTGAAGAATTAATTATATACATATTTAAACATACACACACACAAACTTTGGCTTTGATTTTCGCTTTAGTAAATGCTAAGCTGACAATAGTAATTATAGGACAAAAGTAAAAGGAGAGTTACCTTGATCATTCATCTACTTCATCTGGAAAATGCTTCTTGAGTGGTCTGAAAGAATGTTCATTGACTAGGCTGAAGATTAAAAAATCTTGGATTACTCTATTGTGTTTATTAAATATATAGAGAACATTATTCAGATTTTTATATCAATTTTATGAATCAAAAAGTATGATATTTAAACATTCAGTAACTCAACAAATTCTTAGCTTAAGTTATACTTAAGTATTTGTCCCTTAATAAGTTTTTGGAAGTGGTATTTGTTTACAGTTAACCATTGATAATAAAAGTTAGTGGAAGTGATTTCATTATATTAATCACTACTAAATTATTTTAATTAGTTGTAGAATTGTGGACATTTTTGTGACTTTTTTTGGTGAATTTTTTATTTTAGCATTTAGATTTTGTTTGACTTACTGGATTTTTTTTATTCTTTCTATAATAAAGGCCAGAACTAATATTAGTATTGTGCTAACGTTATAAGAAAGATCATTTCAGAAAGAAAGGCTATTTACTTTTTGGATGGTAACTGATCTTTTCTTAGAGCCTTAAAAAACAATTCATTTCCATAGTATTTATCTCCATATTGCTAAACCAGAACTATGCTTTTGTTTCTCAGAAATGTATAAGCTGAGCAAAAAACCTTGTTGTTATTTTTGGTATATTAGGATTTTGTGTATTAGAATTTGTGTATTCATTCTAAAAGTCCTCTTGATTTTAAGAAAAGCCCAAGATTCTGGTGCAAATTTTGATAACTTGCTACAGGTAAGTATTTCCTCTTTTAATAATCACTGTCACGGAGTCATTGGGGTACATTAATCTACATTATGGTAGCTAAATTACTGATAAAAAATACACAAATATTCAAATAGAAGAATATGATCAAATCATTTTCTCAAATTTGACTTTATTTTCCTTTGTCCTCTTCCAGGAAGTGAGATAAATTTATTGAGGGCAGCTTATGTATAAAGATTTAAAAATGCTTGTGGGGATAAATATGTTGAATTATCATTTGTAACTTATGGCTTTGTTTCTATTTAATGGAGAGGTGAGCATTTAATAGTGAATTTAACTGAATTGATTATGTAATGTATGCTGTATCAGGCCAAATTTTTAAATATTTGTCAGTTTCACTTGTGAAGTTTAGTTTATAAAATACTACCTGGCTCTAATATTTCAGTGCAAAATTAATTATCTATTTATGCATTCAAATTAGTTATGTTACAACTGTATATCCTTCTTTAGATCCTTTTGATTGTCAAACCTAAAGTGACTGCTTTGAATAGATTTGTAGTTTATTAAACCTGTAAAAGTGTTGTAAGATTTACATGCTGCGAAATCTCTGAATTTCTGAACTTTATAAATTGGTACAAACCACTCTATTTTGTATAAAATCATTAGTGAATTTATATTTAAAAAATCAACTGTGGACTGGAGTTCAAGAACAAGAATAGTATTAGTGAATAAAAATGAAGAATGATGAATAATTTTTAATTATAATAAAAATACAATAATAAGGTAACTTTTGTGAAGTGTGGGCATTTGAGTTTGGGAAGTTAAAATGGGGAGGTATTAAGGCACAGTAACACAGCTCATGTGTTGGAACAATGTATTCTCCAAGATTTCCTAAATATGTACTAAGGTATCAAACATAAATGTATTGTGCATTAGAGTGAAATTGAGTCACCTGTAAAAATAGTTGAATGTTTACTTTAATAGAAGTGAAAGGCTATCAGGATCCAATTAAAAAAAGATACATTAGTGTGTTGTTTTTTAATCTATCTGGTTGGGGGAAAAAGTAACGAAATGGAATAAATTGCTATTAAAATAACAATGCATGTCTTGAAATAGCAATGCATGTCTTGACAAACATTCTGATAGAGCAATGAGTATTGGCAAACTTGAATTGCTCGAGAACATGAAAATTGCTGATAACTAATCAAACTGAGCTATTTGTTCAAGTTGAACCTGAAGAGAAGGCTTAAGAAGCAAAACAGATCTAATTAAAAGACCCCTTATTTGCAGTAGGGTTCTTTCTAAAGACAACCATGGAAATTTCTAGGTAGATCAAGCTACCTGATAAAATATTTGGAAAACATATTTTTGAATCTACATAGACCTGTAGTCTATATGTTTGTCTTCAATGTATATTTTAGATGTATTTGCAAAATATTTTTCAAAAGATTGCATATATCAGAGAGTATTAAGTATTTTCCTTGCTGATTTCTATTTTGTAATATCTCAAAGTTAGATGGAAGTAAATGGTCAATGTAACTGAAGTCTTGTCCAGAATAACTGTACTCAAAGCAGATTTAGTAGAAGCTTGTTTTGAAAAAAATATAGAAGAGCAATTCCATACTCCTTTTATCTGGGATCCTGAAACATGTTGTGAACTCTGTATCACATGATGGAGTGATCGCTTTGGACAAGGAAGAAATAAACTACTATACAATTGCTTATATAAAAAACTATAAAAATGAAGGTGACAAATACATGCCTGTGTTATATATAGATTTTGTTTTTCAAGTGTACTTGAATTTAAAATATAGATATTACAATGAACATTATTAAGCAGTGCCTTCTAGCTGCTTCACAGACTACAGCCTATCGTTAAAATAGAATACTGATGTTTTAAATCAGTCTTAAATTTTCATATCTGTGATGCTTTTTAGTTGAAAATACAATAGCATCATATAAATTAGTAATCTATTCCTACCTTTTTTCTGAAGAACAGGAAGACTTATAACTAAAAAAGGAAAATATTGGCAAAGAACAGTTTGAATAATTGTTGTTTTTAAAAATTATGTATTAATTTTATCCCCACTTGAGTCCTTTAATGGATTCTAGATAATATGCCAGTATTTTTGTTGGTATTTTTGATAAAAGGTAAAACTTTGTAAGAGAAAAGAAATTTCATTTGTTTTATTAAAAGATGTGATAGGAAATCTACTTTGCTTATTCCTTTGAAATATATTGTCTGAACATTGGGGACATAATGTACATAATGTCATGGCAACTACTGTCAAGTATGTAAATATACAATAATTTGTATGTACAAATGATTTCAGTTAATCACTAAAAAAAAAGGCAAGTAATCTGCTAGCCATTAAAAATTATTTTCCTGTGTATAAAATGTGCAAGCTTTTTATGTTTGATGTTATGTGTATATATTCCAATGGAGTTTTAATGTCTATATTTGTGCTTTCATCACTATAGTGGGTGACTAACCATTTCAGGGCTAACCTTGCATTGACTGGTTTTTGTTTAATATATGTTTCTAATAGCTCGTATCTTGAACTGAAATGTGAATGTACTATTGCATTACATTGCAAAAGTATTGCATTTTTTTAGAATGACTCCTCCGCTAGATGTGGATTGCTAGATTGATAGGCATAGATTTTGTTTTGTTTATTTTCAGAACTCGTTTTTTATTTTGTAAAGACATATATTTGTATTAATATGAATTGTTAATAAAGGTTGTTACATTGTGTGTGCTCTCATGAAAATATGAATCTACATAACTACTCAGTTTTTCTAAATTATTATTCTAGGATCAAGACCACCTTTAATACTTCCATCTCAGCCTCCACCTTATTCATCACCTAGAGATGTTCCCCCAGACATATTGTTAGATTCTCCAGAAAGAAAGCAAAAGAAACAAAAGAAAATGAAATTAGTCAAGGATGAAAAAGACCAGACTGAAAAAGCTGCAATGTATGATATTATTAGTTCTCCATCCAAGGACTCGACTAAACTTACATTAAGACTCAGTCGTATAAGATCTTCAGATATGGACCAGCAGGATGACATGCTTTCTGGTTTGGAAAACAGTAATGCATCGGAAGGGGATATTTCTTTTAATGTGCAGTATCCAGGACAGACATCTAAAACGCCAGTTACTCCACAGGATATTAATAGGCCTCTAAATGCTGCTCAGTGTTTACCGCAGCATGAACAAACAGCATTCCTCCAGGCGCAACAAGTGCCTGTTTTACAACCGAACACTTCAGTTTCTGCAAAACAACCTCAAAATCCTTTGGTACAGACACATCCACAGGTTTCACAGCACGGGACTATTACGCCATATGATGAAGTAGAATTGGATGCATTGGCTGAAATTGAACGGATAGAACGGGAATCAGCTATTGAAAGGGAACGGTTTTCAAAAGAAGTGCAAGACAAAGGTAAAAATGCTTGTAGTCTAAAAGATAGTTGAATATCCTTGGTGTGAAAAGATGCTATACAATTGCTGTAGGGATACCTTTTTGACAATGCACAGCAGGTAGTTTCAAAATATCATAATTGTAGAAGAGTATTAGAAATGACCTGTTGCTCAAACAGTATCTATTCACGTTCTACATTCCTAAATCACAAAAAACTATAGTACTTAAGCAGGTTTTAGTACTACACAGGCAGTTCTCAACTTAAGACTACAATTGGGACTGGAATATCAATTTCTAAGTAATGTGATTGTTAACTGACTCATACCCTCATGCCCAGTTTTACAACCTTTTTTTTGCTGTGGTCATGAAATGAATCACTGCAGTTAAATGAATCACATGGTCATTCAGTGAATCTGGCTTTCCCCATTCAATTTGCTTGTCGGAAGACAGCTAGGAAGGACACAAATGGCAGTCATGTAGCCCCAGGATACTGCAGCTTCCATAAATGTATGCCAATTGTCAAGAACCCAAACCTCAATCAGGTGACCATGGGGATGCTGTGATAGTCATAAGTGTGAGTACCAATCATCAGTCATTTTTTTCAGCACCATTGTAACTTCAAAAGGTCAATAAAGAGTCATAAACCAAGGATTATATTAAAACTGCCTCCACAGCATCCTAAACTAGAATCAAGCAAAGCATATTATTGTTGAGTGTGATCCATGAATCAGGGCAAAGACATGTTATAAAGATTTATATCAAATCAGCAGTACAATTATGATTGACTAATTCCAAATTCTTAATGTAGGAATTGTTATAGTTTCAGAATTGTAGAGCAATTCCACTCATGTTTTCTCAGAAATAAATATCATTGTATTTGAATGTAGGAATTGAAATTGCCATAGATTTATTACCTCAGATTTTTGAAGACTATAATACCTTCTGAAATTGATCTTGTGGATGCAGAGATATTTAAATTGTATTTTCCCCCCCAAGGAAGGTGTTTTAGAAATGTTTCTTGAGAAAATACTGAAACATTTAAAAAGTATATTAAAAAAATAGGACTTCCAGAAAAATAATTGTAGATGAATTTGGAAATCAATGAAGACAAGAGGAAGGGGAAAAAAATCCCAAATGGTTGGTCCTAGATTAACATCTGCGGTTACCAGTATGTAAAATAGTTTTCTCTAATCTGGAACAAATTGAGTTCTATCTGAAGAAAGGTGGCAGATGAAGCTTCCTGAATCAATCTTGATTTAATTGATCAGCATGATTTAGAATCCAGATAGCAGTACAATAAACAAAGATATCTATATGGTCTGAAACCATTACAATCCTGGGAGCATATCATATAGTAGTCCCATTTCAAAGAAGTTATTAAGTGATGGAAATCAGAGGGAAGATTATCACAAACATTCCAGGTAATTTCAGAAAAGAAGACTATGCATTGCATAATTAATTCAAACAACTGAATTGCAAAATTGGTGATATAGGAACATGCTATATCTGAAATCTTTTTAGATTGAACAATAACGTATGATTTCAATTCCTCCTTATATACAAAGAAAAATTTCAAATAGTCAATCTGATATTATGTGCCAAAATCGTAGACCAAAGTACTTGATATCAAACAGTCATTTTCAGTTATATTGAATACTTGTTTTAAAGTTACAAAGTTAATTATTAAATGGTACTAGAATTGGTTTAGCCTCTTCCTTTTAGCAATATATTAAACATATTGTGTTGATCTTTGCCTAAATGACAAAAATACAGTCTTGGTAAATTATATCCTAAATTTTTACCTTATTGCTTATTCAAAGTACAGTATATTTTAATGATTTAATGATAGATTTTTTAAAAAAAATTGTATAATTTTTTTTCTTACTTGAAGAGAGCTTAGTAGACACATGGATTTATTCAGAGCAAACATTTCTAAATTTTGATTAAATTGACATTATGGAAGAAGCTTTGTTAACCTGTTAAACTGAACATAACAGATTGTAGCAAGGTTTTTGTTGTGAAAGTATCAGGATATATTTTGAGAAATGTGAACTTGAAAACTTTGAACGATTTATATGATATTATTTGAACATTCACAACTGGAAATAACAGTACATTATTAAAATTAAACTTTTCTTAGGCATTATTCATGAACCATAAAGATTTTTATTACATTTGAACATTTTAATTATTAGATGAAACAAGATAACATTATATCTAAATTATATCGAACATAGGCTGAAATTCATGAAAATGTAAAAAAATATTAAAGCTTATGCAGGTAGTCTTCGACTTAAAACCATTTGTTTAGCAACTATTCGAAGATACAGTGGCACTTAAAAAAAGGTGCCTTACGACTGGTTTTGACAGTTATTATTAATGTAGCATGTCCATGGTTATATGACCAAAATTTGGGCGTTTGGCAACTGGCATGTATTTGTAACGGTTGCAGCATCCCAGGATCATGGGAGCCCCAGCTGGCTTCCAACAAGCAAGGTCAATGGGGGAAAACTGAATTTGCTTAACAACTGCATAATTTACTTTACAACTGCAGTGATTTGCTTAACAACCACAAAAAAGCTCGTAACCAGGTACAACTCAACCACTTTAATAAGCAACGGAAATTCTGGTCCCAGTTATGGTCATGGTCATACATCAACGGTTACCTATAAATATTGTTGTATATTATATGCCAGATATAAGCCCCAAATATACAACAGTATTTATAGGTAGCCCTTGATGTATTACCAAATTTCAAAAGAAGATTGTTTAGAAGGTCTTAGTTGGATCATGAGTCAGTACAAGTGATCCTCAAATTACAACCATTCGTTTAACAAATGGCACTGAAAAAAGATAACTCATGACGTGTCCTTGCACTTAAGACTATCATAGCATCCCCTCAGTCACATGGTCAAATTCAAGTGCATGGCAACCACAGCATATATTTACAATAATTGCAGTGTTCCAGGATCACATAATTGCCAACCTTTCTAGGAGGCTTCCAACAAACAAAATTGATGAAGGAAGCTGGATTTGCTTAATAACCATGTTTTAAGGAATCCAGCAAAAAGATCATAAAATCTGGCGTGCCTCACTTAAGCACATCAATAATGCAAATTCATGTCCCAATTATGGTCGTAAGTCGAGGACTACCTTTAATATATACAAAATAAGTATCATTTTTGCTTTACTACAGTGTCATAGTTACAAGACTAGATGAAATTTTATTTGTAGCATTGTCTCAAATCATATAGAGAATTGTCTATGGAGATACTGTAGCTAGTGAATTCTGAAATGAATTTATGAAAGAATTGAGCCAGAGGCTGGAGTTACCTATTACCTTTCTGCAGATTTTTTTTACTTCAGTTTCCAGTTTCTGCTGCATATAAGTCAGATGTGTTCAAATTATGCTCATTAGGCATTATCTCAACTATATCCCAAATTGAGCACAGTACATGAGTTTGTCATTTTTATTTAAAGTGAACTTACCTGACTTACTTTTGCCATATATAAATTTTTTTATTTTCTAGGATTTTATATATCCTTCAATTTTTTATTTATATTGTAAAACTATTTGTGTTAAAATGTTCTTAGTTAGATAATTTTCATATATTTTAGCAATGGGTTCCTTGGAGATCTAATTCTAAACTGTAGTAATTTAATAATTTAAATACCATTTTTACATTTTGAAATGTAAGTTAGGGTGGCAAACATAAAATTGAAAATATCTCAAACTTGTTATTTATTCCCACAAAATGTAAGAATGTTTTGCATAAAACTTTTTTTTCCTGGAAAATCCAAAACAAATAGATTGTTAATTAACTAGCAGGCAAAATGATATGGGGGATTGTCTTAATTCTGATGGTATTTTATAACTGGGTAGTGATTAATTTATCAAAATGTATATGTTCACAGAAATCTACTGTTTGTTTGTTTGTTTGTTTATTTATTTAACAACAGTAATCCATATGGTTAGGTTTCAGTTAATTAGGGATTTCTTTATTTAATTATCAAATTTATAAGCCACTCTTCTCATGCAAGGTGACATGTTGAGTTGAAATGTGAACTTTACAACATACAGTCCTATTTGAAGAATTTTATAGGCAATATGTAGTCATATATTTGTACCAATCTGTATGTTTCTCCTTCTCCATTTTGTATTTTCTTTTTTGTCTGGGGAGCGGAGCAGTTAGAACCCATCTTTATCATCTGTTTTAGACTTTGTTTAGAACACAGTTACGGGAGAAAGGTTCTGTCGTTATCTGCCATGCCCAGTGTCTTTTCTGCCTCGGTAAGGGTCATTTCATAGATAGTAACATTTGACCACATACACTTGATACACCTGTTTTTCTTTTTTACACTCTTTTTGGGGGAAGATGATGTTACAGGACAGTGATCACTCTCCATCTTTTGGCATTATTTCAGGCATATATTCAAGCCACTTCATTGTACTTAGGAGCTGTTTATCAAACTGGATTCTGGTAGCTGGACAATTCATTGATCTCTGCCCAGCTTGATCCCCCAGCATAATAAATTGTCAATTTCAAACTTATCTTTCAAGATTTGTCGATTCCCTGCCCAAAATTTCATGTAACCCCGATGTTTTGTCTACACCTAGATGGTCTTTGAATTTTCAGTGCTTTTCCACTGAAAATGTGTTTTCTCAGACATGGGGAATCTTGTGGGCGGGAGGGGTAGGAGCTATTTATAGTACTTATTTGTTCTAAGCCAAAAGAAGTTGCATAATACTCTTCTAACAGGATATATAATTTTCACCCATTCTGATTACTGTGTTGGAAGACTCATGCTGCTGTAATCAGTGTCAAAATATCACAACTTTTATGAAGATTTTCAGATATTAAGATGCTATCATTTTCTTCCTGCTTCCTCCAGTTCATACACTGGAAAATGGTGCTAAAGTTGGGGCAATACCAGCTACACGAATATGCTCTCTGTAGTGTTTAAGTCTCAACCAAAGTCCACTGCATCAGTCTCAACTTTAAATGTTAAGTTAATATGTCAGTTACTTTGGTATCATTTCTCCCAATAATTCTGGCATTATTATCAGTTCCGTTGCTGTATTTACTATGCTTTCAGCCACTGTTACCTCTTTTCTTTTTCCTCTAGCTTTGCCTTCTGCTGAGTAAAATAAAATTTTCTTTAAGCATCTCCTGACTTTGAAGAGGATTAATCAGACTCCAATTCTGATAAATCTTCCTTCCCACTATTGGAGTGGGTAATCAAAACCCAGTATCACATTTAGAGGGTATGTAACCCTACACTGAACAGTTATGCAGATACCCATTATCCTGCGCTCAGAAAAGTAATAACTGCCATAGGTTGACCTGTTATTTCAATTGTAATCAAAGGTCAGCTGTCTTGATAGGAGTATTAGTGTTCCAAGTGGCCAAGATTTCTTGCAAAAACAGGACTCTAGTACTCCTTCCTTTTCTTATTCACACATCGCCTATAAAAAGAGGCAACTGATTGACAAAATGAAAAAAAATGTGTTTTATAACTATGCTGTCATCCTATAGAACAGATTACATGATATGCATAGAATAATAATATATACATTTTCAATGGGAAGAATGTCTCGACATTTGTGGAAAAGCTTTCTAAAAATAACAAAGAGCCAACATTTTTGAAGTAAAGATGCCCATCTGACCAAGCAACAAGTCATATTGCTCAGGATATTATGGATTGCTGTGGTAAAATTATATTATTTGATTGTGCTAAAGTATCATGTATGGCTTTGCAGATTCACATGGACAGTTAGCTAGAATGAGATGAAAAAAATTTCTACTAAGCAACACAAAGTTAGGCTGCAATAATTAAAAACAATATATTAAATGGTCCTATCCTCTGAACTATCAGTTTTATTTACTTAGAAATGATTCTATTAGACATCATCCCAAGTCTTTTCCTATGGATAAAAAAATCATTGTCTCGCTCAATTTTAAGGAATCTGTTTTAAAACTCTACATATATTCCTAAGTGCCATCTTTACGTTAATTTATCACTTGGTGTGATCTATGTTTTATGCATTCTAGGTGTTACAGAGGATAAATTTCTTCTGCTTATTGAAATCTTTCTTTCAAATACTCTAGCATCCATTCTTGATTAAGTGTATATTGTCCATTTTTGAAAGGCTATAGAAGGGCTACAGTACTGCCTTCCGGAAAATATACTAATTGTTTTTGTCAGTTAATTTCAGAGTTGCCTGAATTGAGTTATTCTTTTTTCAAACACAAGTTTTATCAAGATTTAGTAAGATAAAAAGAATAATGATACAAGAACCCCAGTCTTTTTCTTACAGTCTTATAGTAGACTAGAAGATGATGACTCTTTTTGTAAATAACGGGAAGTGCCAGCAGCTTTTTACATATTAGTAGCTTGAATCCCTGTTGGACTGAGAATTACCAGTTTTTACACTTTTCCTTTTGTATTACATGTTGAATCAGAGCTGAAGATTGAGGCCAATTCTGGACTAGAGGCATTGTTTTATTTTCAGATAGCAATTGTACTTATTCTAAGTGTCTGTAAACAGCTGTTGGTCTGAAAACTCTTATTTTCTTAGCACCATTCACCATTTGCCTATGTCTTGGTGATACTCCTTTACTTATCACTATTATTCCCCTTGGATTTTCTACATTACTGCATGTCTTCATTAAATGGTAGCTATTGCTCATTTCCAAGTATCAGTTATTAGATACTATTACATAAAACTGTCTTTAGAGGCCTCGACACATTACAAAGTCTTGCTCTATGTTGAAATCACTTTTCACAGGTGAGCTTCTCTCTGACTGTTTCAGTGCAGAGAAGTTTTCCTTAAATTGACTCAGACCACCAACTTCATTGGAGTAAAGCTGAATATGATAGAAAGTCTCATGGTCTTGCTCCAAGACAAGCCTTGAGCTGAAGTGGATTTTGCTCATACCTTATCCTGGATCAAGTTCATCACAACAGTTTGAGTGCAACAGATGTGAGTCCAAATGATAGTACAGACTTGATTTCCAACCTTTGCATGCATCTCTGAAATCTTGATTTTTCAAATCTTTCATCATTGCCAAACCCAAGAGCAGTTAGAATGTGTATTTGCATCTTAGTGCATTGATCTCTAGAACAATAAATCAGGATTAGCAGTTACTAGCTGAATTTATCTTTGAGCAGTTACAATCATATCATTATATTAAAATAGATGTGTCTTAAACAGGTTGAAATTTTGGGCCAGAGATATCAATAAAATCCTATTGTAGACTATAGCTTTTCATGTCTGTAGTCAGGATTAAACCAACCCATGTCTGTATTAGATTAGTTCCCCTTTGGAACAAATTGTTTTTTTTTCTGATGGACATTCTCTGGAAGAACCCTACTGTAATGATTCTTTGAATTATAGTCTAAGCATTCTTAAGAACTGAGATCTTTCAAGAATTTGTTTCACATGTAGAAGACACCGATGAAACTCATTATAGTACAGCCAAAGTTAATGCTATTTGTATTGCAATGTCACTTTCATAGCCAAAGACTTTTTATACAAATAGAGAATTTTATCTGTTCCTGCAACTCTTTAACTGTTAGCAAGCATACCTTAATATCTGTGTCACCAAGGTTTGTGATTCTCTTCCACTTGATGAAAGAAGCCTGCATTCAATAAGCAGATAATCCAGATTCAAACACACTAGACAGTGAGTTTTTTGCACTCCAGTCTTCTGAGTCTTGCACTAATTGTATGAAACAGTAAAGTTTTCATGTATTTTCTATACAGATTTATGATACATTTCTTTAGTTTGTAAGTGAAGTGTACAAAATTGCTATAAATATAATCAACCACCTCCTTCTTATGTTCAAACAAACATACATTTGATTCTGCGTCTCATTCTCCATTAGAGTTCATTCGTCTGCTCTATCTTCTCAGTGGCATTGACATTCAACTTGAGCTACAACAATATCCGTTGTTGCTGATAAATGTGTGCATTTTCAAGATGTGTGTTTAATCTACCTTTCTATGACACTGCTGCCTAAAATTTTGGGCATTATCAGTGCAGGCTTTAGGAGAGGTTGTCTTCATTTCTTTGAAATAATAGCTTTTTATGAGGTATAAATTGACTTGCTGTTCACCATGTATATATACATATGATCCGCAAAAATCATGGTTAACAACAATTTGCTTGTGTGTATTTTGGTTCTTCAAATAGTTTTCTGTTCATTATAAAATCTGCAATCCTTATTCATTGACTTATATTTAAGGCCAAGAAATATTTCCTGTCTTGGCCATCACTGAACTGGAAGAAAAAATGAAGCTGAAATTGGTGCCTAAAGATTTCACTTCTAGAATATTTTAACTAAGAGGCTGGTTATGCCAAACTCATAAATGAATATACAGGCGATCACTCAAACTATTGAAGATACATGTAAGCAACTTGCTTCTTTGGTTTCCTTGATACATTCAAATAGATCTGTGAAAACTCACAATTGAGGAAGTATGATAACTGAAGTATCTTTTACAGTTCCTTCCACAATTATTATCAGTATTGTATAAATGGTTTACAAAGCAATTAGCAAATAGTTAACGAATAATGTTCCCTGATCAATAAAAATATATAATTGTGTATGAATATATGTTTTCATCTGTCTACATGTAGTGTTCTATAAAATGATAAGCACCTTTTAACAATTTTTCTTTGATCTGCAGATAAGCCTTTAAAGAAACGAAAACAAGATTCCTTTCCACAGGAGGCTGGAGGTGCTACAGGAGGAAATAAACCAGCTTCTCAGGACACAAATTCTGCAGGAAATGGGTCACGACCAGCCTTGATGGTTAGTATCGATCTACAGCAAGCCGGACGGGCGGACTCTCAGGCAGTTCTTACTCAGGACTTGGATATTATCAAAAAGCCTGAAGAGATAAAGCAGTGTAATGATGGTTCTCTATTTGTTGCCCAAGATGATGTAATTGGAGTACTAAAACTAAAAACAGAAAACTTCCCTGAAACTCTAAGGAAAAAGTCAGATTCTGAAGGTATAAAAATGGAAGTACAACACAATGAGAACAAACAAACAGGAATACAACAAAATGAGGGTAAACGGATAGAAATTAAACACTGTGAAAGCAAGCAAGCAGAAATTAAACATGAAAGCAAACATGAAAATAGACAGGTGGATGTGAAACAAAATGAGGGCAAACAAAATAATGGCAAGCAGGAAATAAGACAAAGACCCGAGACTCCAAAACAAAAAAATGAAGTGAGGCCTGATACTCCAAAACAGAAAAATGAAGGCAGACCAGAAACCCCAAAGCAGAAAAATGAAGGCAGACCAGAAACTCCTAAACACAGACATGAGAACAGGCGTGATTCTAATAAATCTTCACTGGAAAAGAAGCTTGATATATCTAAATATAAAATGGACATGAAATCTGATCCATCCAGGGTGAAATCTGAAAGGTCTGACTCATTAAAACAGAGACCTGATGGGCGTTCAATTTCTGATTCTGTAAGACGGGATCATGATGGCCTTAAACAAAAAACTGAGGACAGAGGTGAATCAGAACGATATAGAGGTGACCCATCAAAGATGCGAAGACCAGAATATTTGCGATCTTCAAGTAAAGGCGAACATGATTCTAAACATATCATTAGAACTGATAACACAAAAGCAGAGAGACTAGACAGGAAACACAGACATGAGTCTGGTGAGTCCCGGGATAAGCTGTCTTCTGGAGATCAGAGATCAAGACCGGACAGTCCTCGTATTAAACAGGAAAGTAAATTAAGAACTGATAGACCAAGTTTTAAATCACAGAATAGTAAGGATGATCGGAGGACAGATGGTAATAAAAGCAAAATGGATAGTAGTAAAGCACATGGAGATAGTAAAGCTGAATTTCCCAGTTATTTGTTGGGGGGAAGATCTGGGGCTTTAAAACATTTTATCATTCCAAAAATAAAACGTGATAAAGATGGCAATGTCATGCACGAAGTAAGGAAATCAGAATTTAAAGGTGAACCGAAGAATAAGGTTGAGAAGATTGGATTAGTAGAAGATCTAAATAAAGGAGCTAAACCAGTAGTTGTTCTGCAAAAACTTTCTTTGGATGATGTACAAAAATTTATTAAGGACAGAGAAGATAAATCAAGAAGCACTTGTTTCAGATCTAACAAAAACAAGTCATCCAAATCAAGTAAAGGTAAGAGTACAACATTTTATCTATTACCTTTGATGTCTTGATGAGTTCCTTGACAATTAAGTTATTATTAGTAATAATTACTTGAAAATAAATAGTAAAAATATTAGTTGGTTCAACTTATTTTGATTTTTAATTCATATTTCCATGAAAGTTGATGATGATAGTTATGAAATCTAGTTCTGTGAATGTAGTCAAGCAGTATTGAAGATAGCTGTTCATCGGAGCTGTTTCATTTGGATTCCTATACTGAGCTGAGGGTTGAAATCAGTGGTCCAAATGGTTCATTCTAATTCAGTGACTAGTTGTGATGGGATAATTTGATCTCTTAATAATCAAGATTTCCAGTTTGTATTTGGGTGATGATCTTGGCCCACCCTATTTTCAGAATGGATAAAATATTAAAGTTGCTACATCCATACAAAAAGATAATGTTGTGGAAAGTGCTGTCTTAATGTCAGTGAGAAAGCATATTGGTTCATGCTACTGGACTGTTCCTGCTTTGTTTCGTTCAGCCAGCAGAAATGGATTCAGGTACTCAAACTATGCCAAAGTTTGAATGAAAGGTATATTAGATAACATGAGCAGCTTATTTTGTATATAAAATTGAAGAGATAGTTCTACATTGCTTCCACACAAATTTTTGGGGAAGTCCAGTTCCAGTTTATTGTTTTTGAACAACAAATGCCAGAACCTTGCAAACCACTCCTGTCTACAAAACTAAGTGGGGAGAGCACAATTCAGCTGTATATCTTGGAACAAATTAGAACTTAAAATGAGATCCTGAATCATTGTCATGTCTAAGCTTCCTGTAGGAAGCAAAACAATGTAACATGACACAGCAAAACATATGTACACAAAATGTCTTTGCGTCTGCCAGACAGATTTAGGCATAAAGGGCCTATGTAAATAACAAAGTTGTATTGATGACAAGGTAGTTGCACTCAAAAATATTCACTATTCCTTAAAACATCACAGTCAGAAAGGTCTCAAACGGACAATTTAAATTTTGTCTTACGTTTGAAACTATGGCGTAGTCATTTTATGTTTTTGTTGGCTTTGTATCAATTTTAATTTAATTTAATTTTTTATAATGCTTACCGTGACTTTCATAATAGCTATTCTATCTAAAGTTGTGAATTTAAAAAATATATTTTCAGAAATAAATATAAAAATTAGGTAAATGAAGAAAAAGTAGTTTGCTAATATTACCACTTCTATTTCTCAGGTAAACAAATAGGATCACTGGAATTAAATTTCTGCCATTCAACCATTATACTCCACAATTGAATTTTTCAGATTAATTTCAGATCGCATTTTATCTTCTATTTTCATGTAATTCTTAAATTAAATGTAAATATATTTTAAATGGCTCTTAATCTACACTTCTAGCTGGAGAAAAGTCTTATGTATGAAAGTGAAATAGATGTTCAAAAAGATTTATTTATTGCACTTATATGAATTATAAGTTTCAGTAGATATGAAAATGTGATTTGTGAGTTATGACCACATGGGAGAAGAGATACTTTTGTGAAAAGTCTTTTGCTTCTATTAAAGTGGGAGCATATGTATTGCTTCATTGATATATCCTGCAATAGACTTTTCACTTCTTTGAAACTTGCACTGTTGAAGGTATTCTCTTGTCTGTGGGTGAAAGTCCTTTCCACAGTAATACATAGAATTTCATTATGAACAGATACATTCAAGAAGGTAGACTTGAAGAAATTTTCAGTCTATCTGATGGCTTTGATGTTTACTTATTGTTGTAAATATATAGAGAAAAATGTTTGCTACCTTTATTATTTATTTGGTTTGTAAACATTACGGAAAATGTATGCAAACAGTTACTTTTTCTACTATAAGTGCAGAATCTGAATCTTTTCAATATATTTTATATCTGTGAACAGAAACTAACTTCAGATATGTTGTTGCATGCTAATGTACACTATTTGCTTACCCCAACAATAAATGAGTAACAAATGATTGCAAAGAAAATACTATGTATTATATTTATATAAATTCTTTTAAACTAGATATATTCTGAGAGAGATAGAAACATTTTAGGGTTTTTTTTTTACAACAGAGCTTATCATGTTTACATTTCGCATTTTCCATTTTTGATAAATAGAAGCAGGTAATACTGTGTAGTTTTTAAGTTGCTGTACCATTAATAATGTATAAATTGGCTTGGGGTTTTGATGTGAAAAGCAGTATAAAAAGTTAATTTGTCTTATAGATATTAACAATATTTGGATTGATATTCACTCACAGTTTACTCTTGATTAATAGGTAGCATAGATCAGTCAGTGTTAAAGGAATTACCCCCAGAACTACTAGCAGAAATTGAATCTACCATGCCACTTTGTGAACGAGTGAAAATGAATAAACGTAAGCGTAGCACAGTAAACGAAAAACCAAAATATGCTGAAATTAGTTCTGATGAAGACAATGACAGTGAAGAGGCTTTTGAAAGTAAGTAGAATGGCAATTTCTTTTGATAATGATAATATATGTATTTGGTAATGCATTTTCTAGCAATTTGCAAGTCAACCTTGCTTATTTGAATAAAGCAGTTTACACAGATGAGGCTAGTATAGACTGCTGCAATACACACACACACACACACACACACACACACACACACACACACACAGGAGGATTCGTCAAAGGATTCACCCCAAAGGAGGGGAGTGAATTTAAGGGAGTGAATTCTCCTTTGGGGTAGATCCTTTGGGAGAATCCTCTGGGAAGCTTGGTGCTAAGGGTCTGTAGGATGGTTCCCTTTCTCTTCTGTTTGGATTGGAAGGTTTGCCTCTGCTCGAAGGGCAAAGTGGATAGATGGTTCCCATTTTAAAACTACTGGGAGGGGTGGGGAGGAAGCTGCCTGGCCAGTCTATATTCTTAGGGAACTGACAGAGGGAATGAGAGTAAAGAAAACTTAAAGAGGGGGGAAAAAGTGCACGGTGGGGTTTCGGGCAGCTGGAGCAAGAGGAGAGCACCCAACCATACAAGGGACGAGACCATGACCCGAAGCTCTGGGGTGGGAAGCAAAGCGAGGCATGGGGAGAGAAACGACTGCATCACCCTTCCTCCGCCACTTCTACCCACCCAACCCTGAAAGACTCACCGACTTGCAGGACCTTGTTGATGCAGCTGCCGTCAGTCAAAACGGTGCCTCTGCAGGAGGGCAGGCGGTTCTCGTCGGCAGTGGAGTCTGTCTCACCGCTGCTCCTGTTATTGGAGATGGCGCTGGTGAGAGAGGCGCCGGCAGGAACCATGGAAGCTATGCCTTCCCCACCTAAGAAGCAGCTGAAATGCTGCTGGTGGAGGAATGTGCAGCACTCCAAACGCGGCAGCACACGGGTAGAAGGGAAAGCAATAGCGGCGGAGAAAGCAATAGAGGCAGGTGCGATGCAAAGTGCCCCACCGCCACCGAAGCCAACATCCACACTGCCCCTGCTGCTGGGTCTGGAGCAAAGGCGCTTGGCGGGGGTAGGGAGCTCTCCGCACTCCGCCATGATCGGTCGTTAACGGCTGGTGGCGAGGCGTGGCTGCCCATGGGGTGCTCTAGGCGAGGGGGGGAGAAATTAAGTCACCCCTGAAAAGATGGCCTAGCTGTTTTTTCAGGGGTCAAAAGAAAATAAGGCCCGGCCTTATTTTCTGAGAAACATAGTAATTTGTAAATATTGAATTTAGAAGCTATTTTTTAATTTTTCATTAAGATTTACAAATAAATATTTCCTCAAAGAGTTCTGCTGTCTCAAGAAAGAACTTTGCATGTTTAATTTCTCATAACTGAAGCCTTGTAGATTTCCTTTGCACTGATAACAGTGGTTATTTCTAGCTTCTCGGAAAAGACATAGAAAAGACAGAAATGATGACAAAGCCTGGGAATACGAAGAACATGACAGACGTTCTGGAGATCATAAAAGGAGTGCCCATTATCATGAAGGAAGGAGGAGTTCTGGTAGCAGCCGATACCGTGCTCGAAGTCCAGAAGATTCAGACATGGATGATTATTCTCCTCCTCCTAGTCTCAGTGAAGGTAATGAAACTTCCAATTGTTTTTGTCGGTTACATTCTGGTAGTGGGTGCACTTCAAGTTTCCTGTCTTAAACATTCCCATTTTGGGGGACCAAGGAGGCGTGCTTTCTCTGTTGTGACTCTCACATTCTGAAACTGCATCCACCCAGATATACAGAGAGTACCATCTCTCCTGGGATTCCAAAAAGCTTTGTTCTCAGATCTGAAGTTAATGTTTGTGAGGTGCGTATTCTGTTTTTTGTTATTGTTACAGTTCTTTTAGCCCAGACTGTCTGTGGCATATGTTTTTTACTGTTTTATGATTATGTAAGCTGTCCAGACTACTGGAGCAGGCAGCTATAACACGTTTAAATAAATAAATAATTGTCCTTTTATTAAATTAAGCAGGTTAAATTAAATCTTCCATTTGAAGATCCAGTATGTATTTACTTGAACAAAGCTGTTGAGTCTGTTTCATACATTCTTTTAAAGGCTTGCACTGCCAATTAGAGCTAATATCACCAATCTGGAGTCCGATAAATTCTACCTGTAATGAAGAGATTCAGGTTTGCTTATTAAATTACACATTAAATTACAAGGAGAAAGCCTAGGAAATGAAAGTAGCTAAATTTTACCAGAATTGGGTCACTAATAAAGGAAAGTTAAGTCCTGAATATTAATTGGTTCCAGTTTTCAAGATATAGCTTCAGGTCAAAATTGCATCAAAATAATTCAAAAGGGGGTGGGGGGAATGAGCAGTTATGCTCCATAACTTTTCTGCAAAATGTGATACAGGAATGAGAATGGTGCCACACCAATCATTATAAAAGTATCTTTTTATTGATACCAATAACATAACTTTCCATTCATTTATTGGCTTTTCATATAACAGTTTCATGCTTTTTGCGTGAAAAACTGACTAGCTCTAACATCAGATTAAACAAGCCTCCATCTTTGTTTGGTATCCAAACTGCGCCTTTTGGCTTTTCTCTTGTGAACTGCAGTAGGATTATTCCTGGGGAGATTCCAACAATAATTTGCAAGCATGGAGGTCTCCATTTCCCTTGGTATCTTTTCTCCATGTCAGCAATATCCTGGTGCAATCTCTCCCCATGCTCATTACTCACTGCCCCACAGTTCAGAAGGAAATACCTAACTCTAAATGCGAGTGTAAGAAGTGAAGTTTCAGTGACATTTTTGCACCAAGTGCAAAAATAGGACCTAAGCAAATTTTCCACATGTTTTTCATAGTCATCTACCTTGCTGTTCCTGACAAACTCCGTTGCCACGGACTTGAAAGCTTTGTACACTTCCATGTGGTACCATTTTCATTATTCTACTGTACTTTATAGAGAAGTTACAAGGCATCATGATTATTAGACATCTCCTTCCCTTGTAGGCAATATACTTGCTGTGTATAAATCTTTATTGTGACATACCTTGAAAAGGTGCCAACCAGCACCTTTATTATCTGTTTGCTAATTCATCTAATCAAAATATGTAAGAATTATCACATTTTATCTTGGAGGTCAATAATTTCCCAAAATTTGTAGACCAGTGTTATTAATACCCAGGTGTTTTGAGGGCAGTAGCAACATTTTTATTTAGTGTTACCTTATAGAAACTGTTTGGTGCTTTCAATGAAATGTTAAAGGTTTTTTTTCCTGTAATATACGTATGTACTGTTATTCTTTAATTAACGGTGTGCTGTACAGCAGAAGTGTCAAACTCGGGGGTCACGGACTGGATGCGTCATGCGCTGGCCCCATCCCGCCCCCCCAGTTTTAGCAAAGGGGGGAAAAGTTGTGATATGTCACCTGACACCGCTGCTGTACAGCATTTTTAAATTCTGTGACTTGGTCTTCAACTATAAATAAATACATATTTAATTTATTTTTATATTATTTTAGATATATTATAAGCCAACTGTTGAAAATGCATTTATGTAGTAATAATATATTGTTATAGAAAATAACATTTCCTTTAAATAACTAATTTTATAAGCTTTATATTTTTACTTTAAAGTGGCTAGAAAAATGAAGAAAAAAGAAAAGCAAAAGAAAAGGAAAGCTTATGAACCAAAGTTAACTCCTGAAGGTATTTTTGGATTTCTGATATTTTTGACATGCCCCAGTTTTGATTATTTAATTGCAATTACTTCTTCATGACTCAAACTATACTATACTGCCTGTTTTTTTGTAGAAATGATGGATTCTTCTACATTCAAGAGGTTCAGTGCTTCAGTTGAAAATATTTTGGACAACTTGGAGGACATGGATTTTACTGCATTTGGTAAATATTTTTTAAAGCATGCTATTTTCTTGACATGTCTTCCATGACATTGGTATTTTCTGGTTTAAACTGGGCTATGTACTTTTAATATATATATTACATACACAGAGAGACAGACACAAAACACACACACACACACACACACACTTTTGAGACTAACTGTACTGCCCAGAATTTCTTCAATCAGGCTTATGGATATCAGTATTAACCTGCATGCTCCACAAGAATAATTAGAAGTGGTATAAAAGACACTCCTTTAAGATTTATTAGAATGAATAATTAAAGGGAAATTTCTCAAACAAATCCAAAAGATCATATTGCACATAATAACAGCAGCAATGATAGTTTTTGCACAGGATTGGAAATTGGAAAACATACTGTCCAAAGAGATGTTAATACAAAGAAATATTAGAATGTGCCGAGATGGACAAACTTAAAATAGAACTAAAAGGCAAGGAGGAATCTGAGATGTGTAATTTTGAAAATAAATAAATAAGAATATTTATTAGGATGATTGAATTGTGTTGTGAAGTGCAAATTTCCTAAAGTATTTTTTACTTTCCCGAGATCTAAATGCTGCTTAAAAGTTGTCCTGGGAAATTATAATCCTAATGTAATTAGTAATTCATGTGATGTATGAATTCACATATTGTTTGACACGTGAATACAATCTCTTAACTTCTTGAAGTGATGCACTAATAATAATGTATCAGAAATAAATATTTATTCATTATTTTAATTATATATTCAATAAAGTTTTTTTTAAAAAAAGAAATAAATATTTCTCTATAATAAGCAGTACAGCTAGTCCTTGACTTACAAGTGGTTCTTACAACTGACCATTTAAAGTTCTGACAGATTTACTTGGGGGCACATATCACTCATATTTGAATTTCCAAAAATCATACTCCCCCTACCACACTCACATGATTGCACTCTGGGCACTCAGCAACCACATTTATGGTCATTTGCAGTGCCCCATGGTTATTTGACTGCAATTTATGGTCAAATTGCTTGAAAACCAGCATTTAGTTCCAGATTTAGGCAAAACTACGCCCACAAAGAACCATTGGTTTACTTAACAACTATAGATTCACCTAATGACTGCAATTACTAGCTCAATGACCACTACAATACAGGGCATAAAATTGGATCGTCATATGGTTGACCTGTTTTACAACTTCATTAATTATGATTGTAATGGGCAGGCTCCAACTACTATTGTAACTCAGGGACTACTTGTACTTTGATATCTTCTCTTTTAAAACTTTAATATACATATCAATAAAGGAGAATATTTGTAGATCAGGGTTGAAATGAGGGGTCCTTATTCTATTACAGTCCAGTTCTTATTTTTTATTTTTGTTCTTATTCTGATATTCCTAACTTTTAAGTTGCTTTATACCTTTCTTTTTGGTTTTAACTCTATCCCATTTAAAACTAATTCCTTCTCTGCTTTTTTCTTCTTATATGTTCTATCAATATTCTGTTACCTTCTGTGTTAAGATTCCAGATCATTTTTATTGCCCTCTCTTAACATTCCCTCTGTCATCTCCCTCTCCCTCTCTCTGTCTTCCTGATATTGGCTTAGCCTTTGGACTTGTCCATTGTGATTGCTTGGTCTTCAGGGAGAAGTGGGAAGAGATTTTGTCCCATACTTCATCTGGACATAATCCTTCCTGCACCCGAACCTATTACTGCATAGTTACTTAACCTATCATTGGATGGCTGTCCGAGACAGGGAACCAGCTACCATCCTCATTACTTACTTGCTCTCATAGATCTCATGCTACCATTACTGATATATTTTCCTGCTGCCCTTCTCCACTCATTCAACATTGCTACATGTTTCTCCAGGTTCTGCTGTGGCCATTGCTACTTCTTCAAATAATTTGCTATTTTAGATATTTTATGTCTCTATTAATTTTGGATCCTTACCTGAATAGTTTCTTGGGTCTATATGCAAAAGACCAGAGAAATCGTTTTGTAAAGATTAATTTATATATTTTGTAATTACGCTGTTATTAAAGTACATCAAAAGGAAAAGTGAGCTTGTATTCTTTTGTTTTATTTTTAGGTGACGATGATGAAATTCCTCAGGAGTTATTACTGGGGAAGCATCAACTAAGTGAATTGGGCAGTGAATCAGCTAAAATTAAGGCCATGGGCATTATGGATAGGGTAAGTTACTGCTTCCTTAAAATGAAGGCGTAGCAAAAACAAGGGACTCATAAAAAAATTGGTTTGAAATACATTTTGATATTGAAGTCACTTGGAAGAGACTGAAAAAATGCACATCTGTTTTTATGCTTGTGTTACCAAATATATATATTTGTTGTGCTTCTCAAATAGTCCAGAGTGAACTTTTGTGAGGTCCTTTGCAAGCTGTTTTTAAAAAGTTAATTCTGAGCAAAATTGAATTTCTGTTAGAGCTATTTCTTTTCAATTTTGCATGATCCATGCTCTTGGTTTGTCTAATGAATCTAAATGTCAGACACAGAAAAGTATTAATTTCTGCTCATGTATTTATTTATTGTTTGGTGTGTGTTTTTTTAGCTTTCAACTGAAAAAACAGTGAAAGTTCTGAACATTTTAGAGAAAAACATTCAAGACGGTGCAAAGCTTTCGACTCTGCTTAATCATGTAAGTTGTTAAAAAGGTTGATAACATATTAAGATTACAAGTGTTTTTATTTGGAATGACATTTTATTTTATATATTTTATTTGGAATGACATTATTTTGATACAGGTTTGAAGTCCATCAAATATTAAATTCAAAAGTGGCTGAGAATTCAGTTTTTAACAGCATACTAGACAACACATGACTCAGGCTCCCCTTCAACTTCCTCCTTGTCTTGACTCTGCTGCTAGCTCTGCTGGCAGATGACAGGCCACACAATACAGTCACTCAACCCAGACTGATTTGCATAGGCAAGTTAGTGATTGTGTCTCTGTGTGACCCAAAACAAGCTGCAGGACAGCTATCACCACTTATGATCAGCCACATCTATGTGGTAGTAGCATTTTATATAAAGGAATATAATTCTAAACTAGGGTGGAAAAACACACAAAATAAAAGAAACCAAAATACAAAAAGTTGTTTTGAGTATGGATTTCTCTATCCATACTTTCACTCTGGTGAGCAATACAATGCTATTGTTAGAACACATCAGCAGATAGCTCTTAATTGGAAAAAATAATTCCCCAATTAAAAAAAGCATGCCTTATTTGGAAAGGGATTTTTTTTCTGATAGGAAAGGATATCTTTTTAAACCTTAAAGAGGAAATAAATGAAATGCATAGGAGAGGAATATGACCTCTATTCCTTAAATTAATATTTATTGAAGGATTCAATACATTCATAAAATAAGCAATGATCTGCAAAACACAGAAAGAGTGAAAAAATGGACAAAAATAAGAGATGGGAGTAGAAAAATCTAGCTAAATCTAGTTTACATTAATGCTATATAGTATGCCTTTTCATATCTTTCTATCACAGTACTCTTATCTAATTTGCTTCTGCCACACCTATACATAACTTCATACTTAGCCTTTTCTTTAAATTTCCTGTGTCCTCTTTGTGAGGATTTCAATCTTTCCCAATTAGAAGAACTCCAAAATCAAATCCCTGAAGAAGATATAGGTAGTCCTCGACTTACAACCATAATTGGAGCCAGAATTTCCATTGCTAAACAAGGTGGTTGTTAAGTGAGTTGTGCCCAATTTTGCTACCTTTTTGCTAGACTTGTTAAGTGAACCAGGTGGTTAAGGCAATCTGGCTTTCCCCATTGACTTAGCTTGTTGGAAGCTGGCTGGGAAACCTCACAAATGGCAATCACTCTGTCCTTGGGATGCTGCAGCTGTCACAAATATATTGCCAAGTGTCCAAATTTTGATCATGTGAGTGTGGGAATTTGGCAATGGCCATAAGTGTAGATCTGTGATTTTTACACTGAAGTGTAAAATTAACTTTTTTTCAATATTGTAACTTAGAATGATTGCTAGCAATGGTTGTAAATAAAGGACTACCTGTAGTAGCAAATTCTTTCTGTAGTTATCCGGAAGATTATACAGATGTGACTAAAATATTTGGTGTAGATC